CATACATACATACATACATACATACATACATACATACATACATACATTCCCTAATATGGAATGCCACAACTGTTTGCCTTTGACTTGGCAGTTACTTCAATCTCAGTTGATTGTCCCAAAGTGCTTTTTCAGGAGGCAACTGGATTTCCTTGTTTTTTTTTCTTTGAAGACATTTTGCTTCTTAATCAAGAAGTTTCTTCAGCTCTGACTGGATGGTGGGGAATAGAAGGATTTATATTACTTGCAGACAGCTGGTCATTTACATTATTTTAGAGGGTCGTTGAAGCATTTGGAGGTTTATGTGTCCTCAGGGTGACCTGAGTAGTGCAAATAGGTATGGAGCCTTTTTGGCTGCAGGATGTTTTCTGCCCTACAAGGCGGCTCCACACCCATTTACACTACTCTGGTGATCCTGAGGACACAGATAAAGTGGCCTCAATGACTCTCTAAAAAGAATGCAAATGACCAGCTGTCTGCAAGGAATATAAATCATTCCATTCCCCACCATCCAGTCAGAGCTGAAGAAGCTTCTTGGATTAGAAGCAAAATGTGTTAAAATAAATAAGAAAGTCCAGTTGCCTCATGAAAAAGCACCTTTGGGACAACCATGACCTGGATGACTGAGAATCTCCATAGACTTTTAAAATCCCAGTTGATTCAGTTGTTCCAACTTCTTCTACCATATTTATCAACAGAGATAAACATGTATGAATAGGCCTACACAATGGCTTCCTGCCCCATCAAGTATCGCAGTGATGTATTCTTTTTAACATGCATTGAAGCATTTGGAGAGTTAAGCTACATATGAACACTAACAACAGCAGAAAAAATAGAATGAGAAGTTTTATGAATAATAATGTATTAAATTAATATGCTGCCCAATTCCTAGCAACTCTGGGCAGCTTACAAACTGTGAGCCATTTAAAAACAAAGAAACAAAATAAAGTAAACACAAAACAGAGCAAATAGTCATAATCAAGGACCCCATATGTTCAAGTATACTCCCGGTTTAAAACTTTGGCAAATAAAGATGAAAGAAAAGAGTGTTTGCTACAACTATTTCTAACGGAAATTATACATTTCCCAAACCTGCCACAAAACTACTTGTTTGTATTCCTGATTCATGCTCATTAGCTTAATGATCCAACACAAGCCACTACAATAGTGTTTGGGTGCCTATGGGACTCTTAGAAACTGAGCGTATGACGCCGTTCTTAAGCGCCTCTTTTGCAAGGAAACGAAGCTGGAAAGTGTTGGAAGCTTAAATGGGCTGGAAGCTTCGTTTCCTTGCAAAAGGGGAGCTTAAAAACAGAGCCATCCATTCTATTTCTAAAAGTCCCATAGGCGCCCAAGCACTTTTCACCTGAACGGAGAACTGACGCAGGCTTTTGGGGGTGAAAAGTGCTCAGTGGTGGCAGAGAGGAGTTGGGGGAAGAGAGGAGCAAGAGAAAGGCACCACAAACACTTTTCACACCCAGAATGAAAGTTTCTCGGGTCCGTGATCTCGTGAGAGTTCAGGCACCCGGTCTCTGCAAAAGAGGATAGGTTCCTGAACTCGTGTGATATTACAGCACCCAGGAGCTTCCATCGACTCTCCTCTCCCTCAAAGGGACAAACCACAGAAACCACAGCACAGGGAAGATAGATCTTATAAGATAAATTAGTCCAGCCTGGCAGGAAAGGAGGGGGAAGCATGAGGTATCTTAGTGGTTGGGGAAGCCTTGGGGGCCTGTTCCATGACTAGGGCACCCATAGCCTTCTCCATCCTGAGATCACTCATGTGCACTTAACGCATTGCTCATTCGATTAGCGAATGCCTGGGCAGAAAGCAGGGAGTGATCTTGTTCAAGGTACGAGTTTCACTCTTACGAATCCTCGAAATACTAATGGAATGGACAGGGCCCATTACATTCATAACTCGAGGACTACATGTATTTCATTTACCTTAGGAAAGGGCGAAGGGAAGGGGAGGAAAGAAAGGGAAAGGGAACAAAGGACAAAGGAAAGAAAAACATGTATAAAAGACAGAAAAACAGCCAGAGCAATAAACAAGGCCACTTAGGTATTCTTCTTTCATACAGGGAACAGTAGAAGGTATAGTTTGTTGTAATCTGCCTCCAATATTCTCCTCAGCTGAGACTGTTAATCTTTATACCAGCTGATGGCTAGGAATTATCAGAACAGAAGCAAATAAAAACTTAAATAAAAAGTAGGTCACTTGACACAAAATAGTTAATTCATCTTCCAATGCTCTGCCACACGTACAGAAGAGGATTAGGATATACCCTGCAGTCCTTTGTATTCCACAGAGCTGTCATTAAACTGACATCTCAAAGGGCTACAAGGCAATTCATCGTTAAAGATATCTAAATGCCCCGTTTTTCAGTGAGACTAAATTTACTGAAAGGATTGCTGTGAATCAATAGTTACCGTCATCTAATGGGAGCAACCTGTGATTGTGAATTTCTATGTATCTCATAGGAGAAGGAAGTGGGGAGACAGATGTAGAAAATCAGATGTCCTCTAGAGATTTTGGACTGCAACCTTTGCCCTTAGTAAAACTGGTGGACCAATGAGATAACGAGTCACCTCTTTTGCTAGTTTCCGTCTCCCATACAAGGGACCTTCAAACTCATCTTACTCTCCACCGTAGTTATAGTCTGTCCAAAGTCTACCCAAATCAAAATTAGAGATATCTGAAGGATCCAATACGGTATTCTTTTTTTTTTTTTTCTAATTTCAGCAAACATATATTTCTTGATAGCTATTAAAGAACACTGGATCTAGTATTTTGTTAAACCATGGGTTTGTTTGGTCATAGTCACTTTGATTTAGGTGATATATTTGGTTTAAACCTATGTAGAAACTCGGGCTATAAGACAATATAGAAAACTGTTAATTGGATATTTTTGGGGGGGCAGGGTGTCACAGTTGTTACAAAAACAAAATTCCACATGGCAGTCATGGAAATGGAAAGTTTAGGAATTGTTTTCATAAAATAAGGTTTGTTATTATGAGACTGAAACTGTGTGGTTATTGGCAGTCTTTCCTACTTCTGGTCTACAACTCTTGTCATTTCATGGATGAGATGGCTAAATTTAGGTCATGATATTGTGATAGATTGCAGGGGGGGGGCTGTAATTCAATACACAAAAGATACGATTTTTAATATCATTTGAAGTGACACAATCCCCTCTTTCTTTCACCTAACACAGAAGCAACCAAGTCAGAATTATACAAAACTGCCTTAAGAAATCTTCCAGACAGAGGATGAAATATGCATATGAGGCATATACATATTTTGTGAATGAATATCCAATAACTACAAGAAGTGTGATATTAGCAAGCATAAAAGTATTAAAGCAATGACTATGAAGAATTTCCAGTTAGAAAGTACAGTATGCCCTCTAGAGGACACAAACTACCAGTTTCATAGATAGGAAGGGAGGGAGGGAGGGAGGATTTTGTTTGCAATCAGTGCAGTTTTGGCATGTCTTTTATTACATGAAATTTTATTAATATTATTGTCCAGGTGTAATGCAACCTTGGACAACAGTTCTGACATGAGTCTTCTTGCCTGCCTCTGTCTACAATCCTGTTACATTCTCAAAGTTATAAAGTCCCCAACTTCAGTTTCACTGTATTACAATATAAACAGTGTTAATATAATTGCACTGTAGTGCTGACACAATAGTCATTTCCTTTTGATGAAGATAGAATTCTAAGCTTTGTGGAAGGATGGAGTGTTGTATCTTCTTATGAGCTGTGATAAGTTCTGGTCAGCTATGCCAATCTGGTTCTTAATCTGAAGGTCCTCCTAGAGTCAAACTCCAGTTGGAAGAGCAATGGTGGTTGTGTCTTGGACAGCTTTGTGTACTTGTCAGGGTCTTTTCTTATTTTCTTTTCTGTTGTCTCTGAGGACTGTTCTTGGCATCTTTGTAGATTATCTTCCTTTCAAACAGTCTATTTCCCTGCTATCTAACTGGTATCTGACTGAGCAGATGGGGCTATGCATCCACCTAACTTGTTTGACCAGAGCTTCTCTGCTCCATTTGTGTCTTCTAGTTTCTGGAGAATCCTTTGCTGTTAGGTTTTAGAGGACCTTCTTTGCCAATTCTTGGTCTTTCTTTCTTGCTGGGAGGAAAGAAATATGCCTCCAGACAGCATGGCATAGAGATATGTAAAGACCCACTACTCTTTCTGGCTGTTCCACTGAATAAGTAGTTTGATAAGAGGATTTTTAGCTTGGCCTTTGGCACACAGCAATTGTGCAATTGTGATATTTGACTATGTGTGAGTCCTTGATGAGTGAATTTAGATATTGGAGATCATGCCTCCAAGTATCTTTCTAAGCCATTAGTGCAGTGGTGGTGTTCAAATTTTTTTACAACTGGTTCTGTGGGCATGGCTTGGTGGGCATGATGTGGCATTGTGGGCATGATGTATCTTGGTGGGTGTGGTGTGGTGGGGCATGGCTTGGTGGGAGTGGCAGGGGAAGGATCCTGTAAAATCCCTATTTCCACCCCACTCTAGGGGAAGGATCCTGTAAAATCCCCATTCCCTCCCCGCCCCACTAATCTGCTCTCCAGCTCCATTCTTCTGTGCAGGGCTACAAAAGAAGACACAGCCAATCAGCTGGGACTCAGGAGGCAGAGAATAGAAGGGGGCGGAGCCAATCAGAGGTGGCATTTGCCGGTTCTCTGAACTACTCAAAATTTCCGCTACCAGTTCTCCAGAACTGGTCAGAACCTGCTGAATACCACCTCTGCATTAGTGGATGTCTAACTATTATCATTTTTACTCAACTCATGGGTGTAATGAAATCCCTATAGAGAATTTAAGGAGGTTTTTTTCTGAGAGGTTTCTTTAGCCTGTAGCTCCAAGGTTCAGTTTGGTTTTCTTAAACCTTCACTTAAGAACAATCCCTTTTGAGGTGACCTGAAATTAAAGATCATGTTGGCTTTCACATGATCTTGCCAACTATTGTACATTCTTTTCACATTGTGGTGAAAGATTGAGTAAGATTGAGATGCCTTTAGCAAGTGTGTCCTCGCCAGGAATTTGCTGCAGTCCTGAATATTGTACAGTTGTCCGTATCATTCCTAGTCATTTCATAGACCACTGAAAACAGAGAACTAATTCTCTTAAAAACTGAATATACCAAATTTTCCTAACTTTGTAGATAAGACAAATCTTTTAAAAATTGTTCAGGAAGCAGCCTGGATTCTCCTCTCCTTTTCTGAACATGTCTACTTTCCTATAAAAATATTAGATTTAGAGAACTCTGCTTTTCACGTCTTCTTTTCTACTTGTTAGGGAAATTCCTTTTCTTCTTTCTACAGTTTCAATGTTTCTTTTTCTTTCCAGCTTCATTTTTTAAGTTCTTCTCTACTTCCATTTGTTATGATTCTCCTCCTCCTTTATTTTAGTTCTATTCTAATTCTACAAGGGCTTAGAATTCTAATTTCCTAAACTCCAGTGAGTTGATAGATCCCATAAGAGTCTTTTGGCACCACAGAATCTCACTTGCTATCCCATAAAATGTTGACTGCTGCTTGGATAAATAAATAGGTTTTCCCAATAGCATAGAGTAGTGTTTTTCAACCTTGGCAATTTTAAGATGTTTGGACACACACAACCTGAAGCCCAGACATCTTAAATTGTCAATGTTAACAAACACTGGCATAGAGATTAGTTCTGCCCCCTAATGGTTGTGTTTCAGTAGGTATTGTGTCAAATCCGGAAGCTAAAAATGCAAATAACCTGTCAGTCCTTTTAATATTTCTGCTATAAAGAATTTAAATAGAGGAAAGGGGGGAGGTAATATTCCAGTCAGGTAGAAAATAACATTATTTAAAGAAAGAAAGAAAACAACTTATATTATTAGTTTTGGTACTACTCAAGGCTGCCCTCCACTGTTCTTGATCCCATCGCAACATGGCGACAGGACCCACTGATTGAAAGTCTAAAAGTTTCAAACCTCCTTCTCAAAAAGGCCTCTGGATCTACACAAGCTGGCTTCACTTTCTGCCCTGGGGTAGGTGCTTGCCCGATACTGCCATAACCAGAGGACACCTCGCCTGGTCTTTCTAATCTGATTTGTGTTAAAAGGAAAAGCTTTCACAACTTTGGGATGGACTTCTGGAAGTGACTTTCACACCCTTCACACCTCTTTTGCAGATTCTTGACTAAAAATATTCTTCTATTTCTACAGAAACAATCTGAATCTTAAGCAAAATCCTTTTCCCCGGATATCCCCCAGTGTAATTCCAGGTACATCAGAACTATTCAGAATATGGTACACTGCTGCTTTATTTCCCAGCTCAGGCACAACTTTTTGGGGGAGTGGGGTCATCCTTGGATTTCTCTCTTTTTCTTTTAAAGGAACAAGACTTTCTCTTTATCAAGGAGGCCTTTTGCCCATGTGATAAATAAAAGCATGTCTCCCTTTGAATGTTGACTAAAGCACAGATGTTGTCCAATATTTAGAATGGCAGAAAGGCAAGCTATTCCAAAGAGAGATTTGTAGAACAAAGCTTTGTGCCTCAAATTTAGTAGCCTGGAAATGCACAAACAGCAATAACCTTTTAATTTTTAAAAAATAATAAAAAATATTTTAAATTATAATAAAGCAGGATAATGTTTGTAGAAACAATAGCCCTTTGTGGGCATTCATATAAACAAATGCATTGAGGAGCGAAGGTTTGAGATGGATATGTTTCTTCAAATATTAATTTTTTTAAGAACCTGTACCTTTTTCAGTGTTATCAGAATTACATAAAAAATACAAATACATTGCCCCTTCTACAAGGAGGACCAAATACACTGCCAAATTTCAGATACAAGGCATTTTAGTAGACGAGAATATATACTGTATAGCTTAGGTTGACCTGTGGAATCATTAGTGTTCTCAGAGCTTGTTTGTTTGTTTGCAGACTTTGCATTACCCAACTAGCTAACATCATCAGTGCAATAACATTACCCAATTGGGTAATGAAACATCTGCTAGCAAACAACCAACCTCAGAAGGAGTTTTACCATGGATCAGATCCCCTTTACAAATTTGAGAAGACACAGAAACTCGTTTGGTGGTTTAATTCTGTGATAACCAACAATGCAGAGGCATCCTTTCCTAAGAAGCCTGACAAATTGTAAAAAGAGTGGTTTATAGCCTTTTACCTGAAGTGCCATCAACGTTGATTTTCAGGATGGGAAGACAGAAAATTAACTGCACACATACACTTCACTAACACCACAGGAAAGCTCTTTAAAGTGTGACAGCATGGTTGAAAAACCACTATAAAGAGTGGAGAACAGCATGTAGCAAACTAGTATGACCGAAGGGCTGCTGATTAACCACTGAATTGAAAGGTAGACTTGTCAGTCATGGCTGTCAATCACTCAACTGGTTCCCTTCTCATTCTCTCTGCTTCAACCTAGCTTCTAGCAACATGAAAGCACAGTAACCTTTTTGGCAAATGAAATACCATTTTGTAATCTTCCAGAATGTTAAATTGCTCATGAAATTTTATGACAGTGGCAATCAGCTTCTGGTTGTTTCAGATGAAATTCAATTTGGGAATGTGACAAACAAAACCGATCCAAAAGAGCCCAATTCAGCTCAGAATTCAGATGAACCAGATGCACTTCATTTAAAAATGTAGATATCATTTAATTTCATTCAATAAATACCTTTGGTCCACGTGGTCTGACAGATTTTCCCATTAGTTTCTCATCATCAAGTTCACACTGTTCCAGAAGATCCAATATGTCTTCTTCCTGAAAAGATACATTCTTGAATAAATGTGAAAAGGTCAGAATGCACACAACATTTAGTATGATGTGAAAACCGCCCTTTCCCCCCCTTATCAAACAGTGTCTGGATCCTAAAAATAATGTCAATGGAAACTTGCAATTATTCTTGTTGAGGTAATTACAAGGGTTGAAAGAAAAACTATGACTCCACCTCCAGTTTAAATAGGGCTATTTTAATAGCTTCAAGGATTATTTTCCATTTTAATTTATTTGACTATTTGTATTTACTTCTTCCCATAATCACCACCATTCGCTACATACTTTTGCCAATGATGTCCAAATGAATTACAGCTGTCACAAAAGAACTCCACACTTTAATCTCTTCAACCAGGTCCTGACAGTCCTTTCCATCTCTTCCACCTCTATCCCTCTGAAACAACAATTACACGGAATTTGGAAGCACAAGAAAAGAAATTTTGCCGCAAGGTGACAACACAAGACCTTAATACCTCATGAGCCATGACAAGAGGCAATTGCAAAGTTGGATCTCACCTCTTATTTCATCCGTCATAAGAGTCCAGACTTGGTTCTGTGCAACTTCCACCTTTTCCCAAAATTGAAGGAATACCTTAGTGGGCATCTGTTTGACTCAAACGAAGAGGCAGAAAGGACTATCAGGACCTGGTTGAAGAGACAAAGTGTGGAGTTCTTTTGTATGATTGTCCACTGTTGGCAGAAGTGTGGAGTGAATGGTGGTGATTATGTGGAGGAGTAAATACAAGTAACAAAAGTGCTCAAATTCAGGGATTATGGTCTGTTTTCTTTATTAAATTATCCCTATTTAATTTGAGTTATGGAGGCGAAGGCGTCACTTTTTATTCAACTCCTATATAATTGATTTTGCCATATTTTATTGATAGGTGCCCAAAAGCTAAACTTTTAAGTTGAAAAAGTTTTGATTCCTGACTAGGCAGTTGAACTCAATAATGAACTTAATCCACGGCAGTCCTACATATTTATAGAACTATGAGTCTATGAACACTAACATTCCACAATGAAAAGACAAGATAATACTAGCTAACCACAGCTGAGATCATTACATAGGAATTCCAGCACAGCTGTCCATGCAAAGGCCATTTGAAACAAGCATGAAATGAACAAGCAGTTTAGCGTTTCTTTAAAAAGCTGCTTGAGGTTTCAAAACCAGGCAACATCTATCAGATCTTTTGCCTGGAAATGTTGAAGCAGGGGTGGCAAACTGGCGGCCTGCAGGCCGGATGCGTCACATGCAGGCCACACCCACCCCAGCTCTGCAAAGGGAAAACCACTGCGATATGTCACATGACAGCAACGTGACGACGCAATGAGTTTGACACCCGTGAACTGAAGTAAGACGACATATTTTTCAGGGTGCTATTTGCAAATTTGATAGATGAGTAGCCAGAAAAAGCATATGGGGAACAAACTATGATTGGATGCAACATGCAAAGACATTACACATGATTTATGAATCCATGATGTATGGATCCAACCATTCTGGTTTTTAAACCAACATTTAAAAGTAAGCAAATGCTGCAAAACCAGCAAATTATACATTTTTCATCAAGCTGTGTTTGAATCATTAGTAAAATGTATAAAAACAATGTTGATTTCACTGCAATATAAACACAACTCTGTACGACAGTACTACAAATTGTATAAGAATCTAAACATTTTGGTATTTCTACTCAGGAATCAACTATTTGAAACCATTAAGTCAATAACAGCACTACTGATACCTTCATCCTTTTCAAAGGGTTGTTTATTTCCCGTTGAAGTGAAGCTGCCCTCCCAGCAAGAAATGTTTGAAAAGCTGTAGCTAACAAACCTTCATATTTTTCAAGTAGAAGTTTATCATCGGGAGGGTAAATACGCCTACAATATGAATAAAAGAAAGGAAAAATCTATGAGATGCAAACAATTCCACAACCCATTATCCTGTATAATGAAGTTAAACAAAATGTATAGCTTCTGTTGTTTCAAATATATATATATTTATTTATTTATTTTTCCGGGTATTTTCCCACATCATTGGATGGCAGATGAGATTCTGCCAAAACGTTGCTACAACTTTAAAAGCACAACTATAAAAATTGGTTTATGTACATAGAGATTTTCAGGGAGAACACTGACTTGGTAATATATTTAAGCAAAACACAGACTGTGAAAACACTTTTTCTACTTAAAATCTACTGTATTTTCACTGGAGAAAGGAGACACTACAATGAAAAAAGCAAAATGGGAATAAAGCTTGTCTTTTTACAAACAATAAGCTTAAGTGTTCGAATACTCACTGTAATGTCAACCAGGATTGCATGAGACACGAAACATTATATATTGCATTCATAATTCAGAGACAGAGAGAGTGAGTTTGAGAAGGACATTACAAAAACCACAAACATTGCATTAGACACCCATTACTTTCTTTCTGATAACAACTATCAATTATAACCCATTTCCTCCTTTCCATTCAGCTCCCTGTTCCACTCCAACCACACAAATTGTAATTTATTATTAATATCTAGCTTGGCTAGTATGGATTGCTGGATAACACACACCAAAAAAGTTCCAGACTTCAGGACAGATGCCTGCCTGTCCTTCTGCCATTTACAAATTCTGAAATACACCAGGTACATTAAAGCTACTGCATAGATAAATACACAAAGTATTACAACTACTTTGGAATCTCACTAGATCTGCTATGTGTAATGGCAATATGCAATGGATGCTTTGTCTGAGAAAAAGAAGTTGTTTCCAACATACAACTTTTCTCTGTGATGGTACATTTCAAAACACATTACAGAGTAGGCTACATGCAGTATTACAAAGTTTACACATATTGAGGCTATTATTTGGCGCTGTTAGAATAGCGGGGGGAAGGAAATTATTCCCCAATGGTATTGCTAATGATGATTCAATCCATGTTATACACACAATGCTTTTGTAGCCAAGCATTAATAATGAAAAGTTGAAAGAGAAAGGATTAACATTTTCAGTCTTGTTGTTTTGCTTTGTTTCTTTTGTGATCAAAATATTTAAAAATAAAATAAAATAATTACTAGATTTCAATGGCGTAAAGTGAAAAGGTTCCTAGGGATATAAAAAGGCTAGGGGGCTGAATTATACACTGTCTCTATTAGTTGCCCATACTAATCAAGAAAAAATAAATCCCCTAAACAATTCTGAAAGTCAGTTAAATTCCTTATAGTCACACCAAGACCAATAGTTTCTAGCAGCAGACACGCAAGCATACTTTAATTGTGTATCTTTAAAATGTGGCACAGTGGTTAGAATGCAGCATTGTATGCTAACTCTGACCATAGTTTGAAGCTCAGTCCTGATGGGCTCAAGGCTGACTCTGCCTTCCATCCTTCCAAGTTTGGTAAAATGAGGATCCAGATTGTTGGGGGCAATATGCTGACTCTGTAAACTACTTAGAGAGGGCTGAAAAGCACTATGAAGCGGTATATAAGTCTAAGTGCTATTGCTATGTTGCTATATGCCATCCTTCAAAACCTGATTTTCTGGAGCATCTTAAAACACACAAATATCACCCAAATTTTTGAAACAAAAGAAATACGAAACAAAACATAGCAATAAAAACATTTAACATTATATCATTCAAAGGAGTTCTAATAAAAAGCTTCCAAAAACACTACATTAAACACATTACCAGATTAATATATCAGAAATAATAATCATGATTTTTTTTTATGATTCCAAACTAACAAACAGGTTGGTATCAGGAGAATATAATGCTAGAAACCCAGTGGGTGATGAGAGATCAAATCAATTTTCATTATGTTGCAAGGACTGAATTTAAATTAAAAAAAATTTAAATCAAGGTAGTAACAGCCCAAATTTCCTCTATCCTTACTATATATTTTATAAGATCTTATGCAACAGCACGTCAACAACTTTATCTGCAATTTGATTAGATTTATTAGATTTCAGCTTTTTTTTCCTTTTTAATTGGGGAGCAATCAGGCATCATCAACAGTTATACCAGATATTCTGCTGCTATATGCCAGTAAAACACATTATAAAGCCCTTAAAACTAGTTCTCTATTTTCCATCTTTCCTGATGCTGCATTTTGAGATTCATTTCAGAAGAAACACGCTTCTGTATCTCATTTTTAAAAAGAGCTATCATGATTCTTAAGGAATTCCTGATGCATGACAAGAGATACTTCTGTAGGCCATGAAAAGTGACTTATTTCAAACTCTGTCTTAAAGTTTAACAAAAAGAAAAACTCAGTTAAGATCTTGCTTTTATAATTTGAGTTTGATTGGGGAAAACATTATTTAAGAAAGTTGGCTTAGTTATGGCTTTGCTTTCACACTACATCTGTCTTTATACTGAGATCCATTTTAACCAGAAAAGAAATCTCTCTGAATAGAGGAAATAAATATCTCTGAGAACTATAGAACCATGATTCATGATGTTGCTAGCAATAGTATTTTGAAAACAAAAAGCCTAAACCCATGCTAAGGTCTATTATTATTAGCCCATTTCATCATTCAAGAAGAAAGCACCTTTATGCAAGCTTGATACAAGCAAAGTGAATTCCATTCTAAATCAAATGAATCCAAGATAGACTTTGAATTAGGAATCTAGGGATTACATAGTTACCTATAATTTCCCATGTGCCTGTTTTCATGCTCTTCTTTGGAGATCTGCCTGCGTACTTGTGCAAGTCTCTCTTTCTGGAAGCCAAGAACATGTGGAAATGACTGAACATACCGCTAGAGAAAAAAGTAGAAAACATGGCTCCTTTATTTATATAGACATAGATGTTTTAAATTACCAGTTCTTCTCTCCTCCTTTCTAGAGAACGCCGTTGCTTTTCCCAGTCAGAAGATATAGGTGACAGTCTTTTCATTGACCCTTGGCCGTACAGTCTCTTCTGAGCTTCAGCTTTTTGCTTGGCTAAATTTTTTCTTTTATCGCTTGTCCTGAAAAAAAAAAAAAATACTTGAAAGGATCAACAAAAGCCAACCCAGTGGGGTTTTCAGCTTTTCTGACACAATGATGACAGAGTCCAGGCAGTAGGCTGCTGGGGCTTCGCAGGGGTTTGGGAGACCCTCTAGCTAAGATTCCGCACGGTTTGGAGAACACCCAAATCCCACTCCTGGCTTGCCCCACCCACCCCGCCCTGCCCCTCCCAGGAGTCCCCACGTGGCCAGTTTTGGATGCAGGGTACGCGTGGGGTGCAAGGTATGTGCAGAGGCTTGGGGAAGGCAAAAAACGGGCCTCCCGGAAGTTCACGAAGGCCTTTTTCCGACTCCCAGAAAGCCCCCGGAGCCCAGGGAGGCTGTTTTCATGCTCCTGGAGGCTTGAGGAAAGCTTCCTGAGCCCAGGGAGGGCACAAACGCCTCCCCTCCCCCCTGGCCGTGGTGCAGGAGACTGACTAGGTCACGCCCACCATGGCCACGCCCACCCAGCAACCAGGCAGAGAACCTGTTGCTAAAATTGTTGAAGCCCACCCGAGTCCAGGGCTATCTTTATTATTAACGAATAGCAAGCTCCTTCTTTTTCCCATACCTACCAACCTCCCAGATGGAGAAGGAGAAATACTTCAGTTTACCATGGTTGCAGAAGTAGAGGGCACCCATTTTCTTCCTTTTCCTACATGGCAGCTATTCCAAAATACCGGTTTTGTTTTCATCTACCTGCACTGGCAAGGCAATGAGTGCTTGGTACTAAGCTACAGTACAATGGAGAGAGGAAAGTTGCTACTACAACTGCTCTCCCCAGGATAGAGCAGATGGGAGCTATCTCTGTCAGCCAGACAATGAACTATCAGAAATAGGTTCTCCTCAGAAACAATCTTCCTCAGTTGGTTATTAATGTCAGGCCCTGATAGGATGCTGAATGCCTGGCAACTGCTAGACCATGCTGCTTTCAGATGCTTCACCTGGTAATACCTTAACAACTAACTCCTCCTAAAGACCTGGGGCAGATGATACCAAACAAGATATTGGAATTCCTACCAACAACTAGATCACAGGAATACACAATGTCCTCAGAGGACTCATTTATAATAAACTGTAATTCTATGAAAGAAAGTAATTCTATGGCTTTAGGCATTTTCATGCTCTAAGAGAATATGCACAGATATACAGTAGTACCAGTCTCATTGTAATCTTTTTAATCCGATCAGAAGGATAACAGAGACATGAACACGTCCTTTTTCTGCCTCAAGAATCATTAAAAAAAATCTGGCCAGACCACTATAGTGCTTGGATCAAACTAGGATTTAACTTACTCTTTTCCAGTAATGACAAAGATTGTATTATATCTGGATTAAAGGGTTTAACTTAAATTGTATGAAAACAATTTTTGTAAAATATGGTAAATGTACATCTATTTCTTTCATAACCAAAATAAATAATGACAACTGGCCTGTGCATATTTACCTGATGTTGAGAAGCTGTAATGCATTCAAAAGGACACCTTTTTTCACATCATAATCGATTTTCTGGTCAGTACCAAAGCTGGGGGCTCGATTAATCTGAGCAAATGGGGGGGGGGGAGGCAGAACATTTTCAGGAATGTTAAATACAAATAATATGTACAAAACTTTCCATCACTCACACATATGCATGTATCACTGACCAAGTTTTCAAGATCCTTACTTGCAAATGTACCAAGTAAGCATATTTGGTATATGAAAAAAAAATCCTCTTATTTTTAAAGGAGGTAAGATTTATACAAATGCTGCAAATTTGACGGCATGTGAAATATCCAAAATAATGAGTTACATTTAAAATGTGTTTATCTTGCCTGTATTATTTACCCATTTGCTATTATAATTGGAGCATGAACACTCAATCACAGGTGTAGGTAGAATTAATATTTGCCCTATGCAGTGTAACACATTTTAATTCATATTTCAAAATGTTTGTAATGGTTTCTATTATTAAATTTTAATCTGTACATAAAACTAATAATGTATAGCTATTAAAACCAAAAAAAGTCTGAAAAGCATGGGAACGTATGTGTATACAAAAGCTTATTAGTGCTTTGTAGAAAAAGGTGATATATTCCTTCTAACAGAAAAATTGAGTAAGGTTCAAAAATATAGAATTAGTTACATTTTATTTTCTTTCCAATAGAATCAAAGTTGAGAATTCATGGCCCTTTTAGGAGATGACCAAGTTGAGCCAGAAGGAGGGGTCAAATAAATCACGGAGTCCCTTGCACCCACAAGAAATCTAAATCCAGCCTGCTTTGAATTCCTTTGACTCTTATCTACCGCCAACTAGTTTTAACCATTAATAGTTCAGATTCTTGTAGAGAGAAGATACAATAAACCTATATATTCATTTGAACTGCTTGGGGTCCTGTTTTCCTGCACTTAATAGCCGTCCAATACTATATCTAGCAGCTCAGGCAGCGTGGCCAGTAGAGTGAGGGATATTTGAAATTGTAGTGTAATAACATCTGGTGAGCCACAGATTCCCCCATCCATGCTATAGAATATTTCATGAAATAAATCTGAACTCCATGCTATTTAAAATCACTGAATGTAAGCTATAATATATACTGTATGGTAACCTATTTCAACAGCACATCAATAGAACTTGATAGAATTAGCTAATAATAGACCAATCAGTTATTTCTGCAGCAGACTACAGATCATAATAATGTTGCTACTCAATGAATGCACCACAATAATGAAGGGATTAAGTGCTGTTCAATATCTTGGAGACCATAGCAATTAATACAATTATGTGGGGTTGGAAATTATCTTCCTCTTGCAATACCAAGCCAGCAGTCACACGAATTCACTGTAAAAGTTTTGCTAGTGGCATTTTCTCAAACAGCAAAAAAGCAGTTATATTTTGATTTTTGAATTTGAATTTCCCCAATTATAGTAGGTATCAAAAACTAGATAAAATGTTTCACAAAACCTAGAAGTTCTCTACTCTTGATCTTTTGCTTTTGTTGCTTAATATAATGTTCATAGGTTTCTGCAATCCAAATATGTATTCTAACAGAAAATAATTACAATGCACTCTCCTCTCTAACCAACAGGAAGATGTTAAGCCACAACACTCAATTCTCACAAATACTGAGCTGCTTAAAAATTATCTCCCAGAGTTGGAGATAAGCCAAAACATGCTACATTGTTATTCTGGAAATATTTTTAGTATACTTTGCTAAAGTATCGCTCTATTGACTACATTGCCTATGACTGTACATAGCTGTAGGCCAGCAATATTGGGGTGTTAAGTTTTTCTTCCCTTAGCTTAGATCCTGAGAACAGGAAAAGTAAGAAATGATTTATTAAGGTAGTTTTAATTGTTTAGGCATTTAAAATCAAAACTAGTATTTTAAACTGGACCCCAAAACAAATTCTTGATCAATAAATGTATATTCTTTGTTTGTATATTCTTCTTTACTGGCTTCACTTAACTGCAAACATCTGCAGTCTGGAAAACTCAGATTATCAACACAGAGGACATCACAATATATTCTGGTGTCAGAGTTGCTTTGCAGAGTAAGATGGGTGGCATATCAATTAATTTGAATGAATGAATGAATGAATGAATGAATGAATGAATGAATGAACAAACGTATGTATGTATGTAGTTTGGGTATACATTATAACTTCTCAAGTTGATGTAACATCAAACTGGAAAAAGCCATTCCTAGCTACAGCTACCATGTCATCACCCAGGAATAAGCTTCAGTCTAGAATCTTTCCTAACTATAGTTTTCTTCTTTTGTCCATTTCCCAAAGGCACCTTTTTATGTCCAACCACCTGGTTGTATTTTCCCAGTCTTTTTACCTGGGAACTTTACTCATTCTCTTCAACAGCTTTCTGTTCTGACAACTATGCCCAATTATGCAGCAGTTTACAGTTGTTATTGAGATGTGTTAAAACTGCAGGTCCCTCATTCCTGTATTCAATATTGACTAGAGATCCGAAAGTAGCGGTCAACATATTTGATAGAGAACTACTTTCAAGCACATTAAAATATCTGTGATTTATTTACATTATTTAAATTTCTTGGAATTTAAAGGCATTTGAAAAAATATCTGACCGTAATAGGATCACCAGGGCCCTGAAGAAACAGGTTCTGTTCAACATCGAACCCCTTACAATATAGATCTCTCTCTCTCTCTCTATTCGTATATTGCTGATTGCAAATGCTAATACAACATTATCCAGACAAATTAAAGATGAAACAAAATAGACAAGATTACTTTATTTGGAACAGAGCATTTCATGTCTTATCCACTAGATGGTGTAAAATACTTGTAAGATGACATACAAGCTTCTGCTAGAGGAAAAACTATGTGAGTATAGCTGGGGAAAAGAGGTCTTGATTCATGGTTCAAACATGTAACTAATATTGTCCCTATCATGTTTCATCTGAGAATATTTTTATCGCACATTTCTAAAAATATCAGCCTTGATCTAAAAAGCTGCTAGTTAATTGCAGAATACACAAATAACAGGTGTCATCATAATCATTGTCATGATTATCATCCCAAATTACTCCATCTCAGGATGAAGCCCTGCCTTCTCCTTAGGGAGAAGATGACTGGCTCAAAGTCAGCCAGTTGGCTTTGTGCCTAAGGCAGGAATGGAACTCATGGTCTCCCAGCCTCTAGATCAGGGCATTTAATATTGTATTATAGATTGTGTATACATATTCATATATTAGTTTGTGTATGTACAGAGTATGCATTTTCAGGAGCCATATTTGATTGCACAATACACTAAGTCATCCTCTTAATTCTATTTTTAATGTGCTATAAACCAGTGGTTACATAAAGGTAAAGGTTTCCCCTATCCAGTCATATCCAACCCTAAGGGGCAGTGCTCTTCATTTCTGAGGGATTAAGCGTTGTCCGAAGACACTTCTGTGGTCATGTGGCCAGCATAACTATATGCCAAGGCACACAGAACATTGTTACCTTCCCACTGAAGTGGTACCTATTTATTTACTCATATTTGTATACTTTTGAGAACTGCTAGGCTGGAAGGAGCTAGGAAAGTAATGGGAGTTCATGTGATGCTCAAGTTTCAATTCCAGACTGTCTGCTTTTCAGCTGACAAGCTCAGCCTCTTTAATTGCTGAACCATCACTCTCACTTCTAGTGGTTAGATAGGAACATCTGATTTTTAATTCAACAATGGTATTAACAGCGGCATACCAGTTGTTGTTGTTTTAACCTTCATACACTTATTGAAATTATTGTAAAGCTGCTCACCTCTAGTAGCCATGGCTTGAGTTTCTTGTCCAGCAGAATGTCAAATCCCAGCACTTCAAAGCAAACGCTGTCACTTCCAGGGGGTTGCCCTGGTCTACACATACGATAAGCATGAAGGACATGTGGCTCTGCTACTATAAGTGTCTTCACAACTAACTCCTGGGAGATTGTGCAAAAGATAAGAACAGCAGACTAGCATCATTGTGTTTATTTGAATTTTACAGAAAACCATTACGTTAAAACAGCAAAATATGATGCTCTAACAAAATAAGAACCAATTGATTGTTGGCTGTAGTCTAAATCACAAAAAATCAAGCAGAAATAATATTTAGGATCTAATCAGGACTGCCAAAGTATTATAATAATTTGTTCTAAACATTATTCAGTTCACCTGGGGGTGGGGGATCTGGTATTTTGCCCATTTCCCCTCTCTGACATAATGACAAGATTCTACACATCAGGGGTCCCCAACCACCGGGCCCCGGACCGGTACCGGGCCGTGGAACATTTTCTACCGGGCCGTCGGTTTGCTGGGCGCCGCCATCTTGTTTTGATGAGAAAGTGCTTCTGGGTGAGCTTTTCCAGTTGGAAAGCGGCGTTTGGGTCCTGAAGGAATCCTCGCGCCTTAGTTTCATTGAAGGGGGGGGGGGGCGGCTTCGAACGAAACTAAGGTGCGAGGATTCTTTCAGCACCCAAGGCAAGGCGAGCCGAGCGACCGTCCCGAAGCCATCCCGAAGCCATCCCAAAGCCCATTGACAAAGGTACAAAGGAGGAGTTGAAGGTGGCGGGGAGAAGCGGGGGACAGCTGGCTGGCGGGTCGCTCAGCTCGCCTTGCCTTGTCATGCGTGCTGATGCCGGTACCGGGCCACGGATCATTTTGTGATGCCAGTACCGGGCTGTGGCACAAAAAAGGTTGGGGGCCACTGCTACACATAACACTTCTGTCTTTTAGTAATTTCACCATATAAAAAAAATTAAATAAGAATTTCAGTTGCATGCATCAAAATCCATATTATGTCCTGGTCCAAGAGGAACTGTACAGAGCATTGCCACTATGATGACCAAACACAGAACAGCTATTGCATATTAGTTTTCTCTTACTGAAATATCATTCCAGAATTTGGAAACGTCAAGGTGATTTGTTTGCAGAAACTCAGTAAACCACTTTATAGAGCGCTTACTGCCTTTGTCTTCTGTTTCATCCCGTTCAAAATGCTCATTATGCTTATTCACAGAGTAGTTGGTCAGATGCATATACAACTGGCTCTGAAACAAAAATCAGAATGTGATTTCTAAGGGACAAGTAGAGAAAGAGAGTTTACAGTTCTATTTAAAGAGAAACTTCATGAAGATGATGCTAATGAAGCAGTTTTTTTACACTGCAGAAAAGATACAGCATTGCTCAACAATGATTTACAAAAGATAAATATAAAAAAGATGAGTATTGTAATCAGTTGTGATATCAAATAAAATGACAGAACAAGTGTGCATACAGATTTGTTTAGTTTTTTTAAAAGTTAAATAATATGGAATACAACAGAAGAATAAAAAATATGCATGATATGGGGGTGAATCAACCTTGTAGTTTTTTTCTTGATACAGAATAGTATTTACCTAATTTATTTGTTGTTTATTTATCTTATTTGTTTATTTATCTTGTTTATTTATCTAATAAAAATACCAAAGTTGGAAATTCAGGATAGACAAAAGGAAAAACATCTATTCAAATTTGCTAGCATACAATTGGGTAAAATGAATAAACTGATGAAGAATACATCTTTCTAATCATGAAATCTCTGAATTGTCCCCAGGATCAAAGGCTAAACATAATCCCATGGAGAGTTCTAAAGGAAATGAATTTGCTAGACTCTTTTTAAATCAGTGATTAGGACTGAACATGGAACCGAGAAGCACTAGTCACACATCCACGTTGGTTGTGGATGAATATTGTGGACCCATTCTGGCCTTTTTAGGCCTCTCAGCAGGTTCTGATACCCTCAACTATTGTATTCTTCTGACTCTCAACTCAACAGAAATTAAAAACAAAGCCAAATATAATCATTCCAAAACAATTTCTCTTGCAATCAATGCCTAGCTGTTCACTATTACAATACATACCGTAGGTTTGCCTAAGCATATATTATTGCACTATTTTTATTCACCTAACTTTTACTTACCAGATTTGATTCATTGGGTGGATGATATTTCTCTGTGCCCATTCTCACTAATCCATCATGATATAAAAATATTTTAAGTGGATCACATGAAGTTACCAGAATGTACACCCTTAAATCAAATTTGTAACCTTCCATAAGGAAGGGCTTGTCAAGATATTCTTGAACTATGAGGTGGTCCTGGGAATGAAGTTTTTCTGCATTTCTGACAAGGGAGATCCTGATAAAAGGCAAAAAAGAAAAACTGAAGACTTTTCATTCCGGCTAATTATTTATTAAAAAAAAATAATGTCCCTTAAATACGTAGTAAGATACTGGTTTCATTTGTTTTAAGCTAGGTCTATCAAACCTAACTTCTTAGGCATGTACACCAAATCTATTATACTGTATAGTTTACCATGTATTTGAATACCTCTCAAGCTATAATTATTGTGCAGTTACATAAATTAGTTTAATAAATAAATAAATAAATAAACAGATTATTACAGGTAGTCCTCACTTAATGATTACTCATTCAGCAACTGCTCAAACTTACAACAATGCTGAATGAGTGATAGTTACAATTGTACCTTGTAGTTACAGCTTTTAAAGCAACCTGCAGTCAGGTGATTGTGATTAATGACTTTCCCTGCCAACTTTCCATAAGCAAAGTCAATGGGGAATCTAACAGGAAGTTGGAAATTGTGGTCATGTGGTGTGCTTGTGGTCCTTACTTAATGACAGCACTGGGACAGTCAGAGCTATTATCATTAAGCAACAAAGTTACTTGGGTTTTGTTTTTTTTATAGCTACATGCCTTAAGGATAGAGTTTCCAGTCCCAGTTAGCGTTGTTAAGCATGGACTACCTCTATACGGAAACAAAACTAACAAATCCAGTCCACTATTTGGAAGGAAATGTTTGTTGCCAGTTTAGTAGCAACAGCCTGCTTACTGTCCTTGTTTTTAATGAATAGCATTTTTAGAAAGTCAATATCTAATTATAATTCCAGTAATATAAACAAGTGTCCTCATGTGGAAGAATTGGGTTACCACCGCACCTACCCATGTCCCATGGCCCCATTAGCTGGTTTGACTATGAACGTTTTCTGTCGGCGTTTTCTTTTAAGTTCTTTTACATAGTTCTGGAACTGGGTAAACTCTGCTGGAAAAATCCACGTCCGAGGAATGAAACTATATTCCTGTGGCTGAGATTTGATCATTCTGGAAAAAAAACAGAAGAACAAAAAAAAAAATCCAGTGCATTTTCATATCTGCGGTTTCAATCTGATTTAATTCAGTGTTTAGCAGTAGCAAACTGGACAAAGAAAAACATATTCATATATTGTATACTTAGAAGTTATATAAAGGTAGTCCTCAATTTACGATCACAATTGAGCCCAATATCTCTGTTGCTAAGTGAGATGGTTGTTAGGAGAGTTTTGCCCCGTTTTACAACCTTTCTTGATGCCATTGTTAAGTTAGTAACACGGTTGTTGTGAATCAGGCATTCCCATTGACTTTGCTTGAGAAAAGGTCACGAAAGGTGATGACATGACCCCAAAATACTGCAACTGTCATAAATATGAGTCAGCTGCCAAGCATCTGAATTTTGATCACATGACCACGGGGGATGCTGCAAAGGTGGCAAGTGTGAAAAACAGTCACAAGTCACTTTTTCCAGTGCCCTTGTAACTTTGGTCACCAAACAAAGGATTGTAAACCGAGGACTACCTTAGTTTAATGGCATTTATCACCACATATATTTTGGATTGCCATTGAAATGGTTTATTGGAAGCCATAACTCAACAGGATAGGTGCCAAAATTAAGATTATCCAACAGTACATATTACCATTGTAAGATCTGAATTTCGGTGTGTGTTGTTACTTCAGTAAATCTGCATAATCTCTTTTTGTTCAAAATGTGACCTTCACACTCAGAATCTTTCCCAACAACTGAGATGGAAACTTTAGGAACAAAACTGTATGTTAAATTGCTTACAATTTATTTGTACTCCCTTAAAAGAGACGGAAAAATATGAAAAGATTGTTCTAAGAATTACCACAGAAATGAAAGGTATAAATAAGGATCTTCATATTCCCCAAAGGTTGTACTAAAGAAATGTTGATTCAAGTCAGGTACTACTATTATATTCGTCACTTTACAATAAATAGAATGCAAAGCAAAACAAGAAGAAAACCATAACAACTTTCCTGTCATTCTTTTAATTTGCCTGAGAGATTATATACAATTACTAATCGCTTATATGGGTACAAAAAACTTGCAAAAATGGCCATCTGCAGATCCAGGATTGGAGCCAAGAGTGTCAGGGTCTGTGTACAATAGAGAGCCTGTTACAAAAGCAACTAGCTAATTGTGGAAAGAACACTTCAAAATGAAAACAGAAAAACCCACAACCATCATGGCAATTTTTATAATTGTGCTTACAGTTATTATAGATCTCAAGTAATGGCAGTACTGTGGTTCAGGATTGTGGAATTGCCTTATTGCCTTGCTTAATCACACAGCACAGTGATTTTTTATTTATTTATTTTTATTTTTGATACAGGTAGTTCTCAAGCTACCACTGTAACGGAGCCTGCTCATCACGATCGTAACTGGTAACGATTGTAAAACGGTTGATCACATAACCAACCTAATTTGGTGGTTATTAGGTTGTTAAGTGAACCAGTGGTTGTTATGAGTACCATTTTGTGGAAAAAAAATAGTAGGGAATGCCATTTTTCGCAAAACCATCATAAAATGCAGGTGTGTGATCGCAAGATACTGCAGACAGCCATAAATGCAGCCTAAATGTCAAGCCTCCAAAGCACAGTCATGTGACCATGAGGGAGAAAATGACTATCAAAACTTTGAATCTGGGTCGTAAGTCTCTCTCACATGCACACACACATGCCCCATAAGCCCGTCAGAACTTTGGACACTTGTAAGTCAAGGACAACCTGTTCTCTTAATGTCACATGTATAGTCAAACTAAGATTAGGCTCATATCTTCACCCCACCAATTGATCCTACTATTTGATGACTCGTATCCTAAATATCTGAAAAATGTGAACTGTATTTGATGTGGTAGAAACTGGTCAAAAAGTGATGAACAAAACGCCTTGTTTGCTGAAGTTAACACTTCAATACAGGTAGTCCTTGACTTACAACAGTTCATTTAGTGACCATTCGAAGTTACAAAGGCACTGAAAAAAGTGACTTATGACAATCTTTTCACACTACAGCATCCCCATAATCACATGATCAAAACTCAGATGCTTGCGACTGGTTCATATTTATGATGGCTGCAGTGTCCCGGGGTCATGTGATCACCTTTTGCGACCTTCTGACAAGCAGAGTCAATGGGGAAGCCAAATTCACTTAACAACCTTGCTACTAACATAACAATTGCAGTGGTTCACTTAACAACTGTGACAAGAAAGGCCGTAAAATTGAGCAAAACTCAATTTAACAAATGTCTCACTGAACAACAGAAATGTTGGCTTCAGTTGTGGTCGTAAGTCAAGGATTACCTGTAACTCTGAAGGTTGCTATTGAAAGTCAAGACTAGGTCTTCTCTAATCTGAGGCCCTCTGGATATATAAAATTATATCTTTCATGATCTCTTCTTGGGATCTCTTCTTCTTCAGCTGAGAATGCTCAAGAGATATATTTTGAAGGGTGCTATTTTGGGGAAGAGTGAGCTAGTTTTCCATGGGGTAACTGTTCTGTGGGCGTGGCTTGGTTGGTGTGGCTCCCCTTAATCTAGAGACAAACCCAATTGCGCAGAGGCTACAGGAAAAATTATTAATCAAACCTTCAAGTGAAATTAGAAGAGATCCTGAATCGGCCTAGGAGCTTTATCAGAAAACAGCCTAACTCTCACGAGGCTGAGCATAAACTGGGGAACGCTGTAATGGAGCCACGTGATGGAAGGAGGAGCGTTCTTCAGTAATTAAGCTCAGCCTACAACAGCACAGACTGAAGCACCTCCCACTCTCTGGATGATCCGAGCAGTTCTAAGGAGAATCTCCATTTCCATCCCACCCCGCTAACCTGCTTTCCAGCTCCATTCTCCTGTGCAGGGCAACAAAAGAAGACCCAGCCGATCAACTGGGACTCAGGAGGCAGAGAATAGATGGGGGCAGGGCCAGTCAGAGGTGGTATTTGCCAGTTTTCCAAACTACTCAAAATTTCTACTACCAGTTCTCCAGAACTGGTCAGAACCTGCTGAATACCACCACTGGGAATATGGGATGCTTTCTTCATACAACTAAATCCGTTTTCTATTTGGGAGGAAATCCTGTTAAGCTGCAAAAGTCCTAGATGAAAGGGGAGGGGAGAGAAAAGAAACCTCATTCTACAGAGCCCCTTCTGTTTTTCCAGGAACCTGGAAAACAGACAATTCAAGTATCAAACAAAGAAGCATTCGTGCAGGCTTGTCTTCCCTTGGTTTAAGGCGTTAATAATGCTCAATTAATTGGTTCAAGCTCTTTTTGAAATGACAACTAAAGTGATTAATGTCGGAACTTTTTTTCTGCTTGCTGAGCACTGAAAGTATTGATATGAATGCTTCCCTCTTATTATACTATATGTTTTAGGACAGAGAAGAGCAAGCCCACAGGCAATAGGTTGCATGACTACCTAGCCCATTTCTATACCATGCTGCCCTGCCCAAAGTTCCTGAGATCACACCACTGAAATGTATTTATTTTTATCCCTATATTATTTTTTATAAATAGCTCGAGGTAGCGAACATACCTAATACTCCTTTCTCCTCCTATTTTCTCTCCACAAACAACCCTGTGAGGTGAGTTAGGGCGAGTAAAAGTGATTGACCCAAAGTCACCAGGCCAACTTTAGTTTAGTTTACTTTATTGTCATTGCACCTTGTACAACGAAATCAAACACCATCTTCAGTGCACATCATGACCATGACCATGACCATGAAAATAAACACAAACACACCTCCTTCACCCTTCACACATTGAACCGGAAACCCCCGACACCACACCAACACTGCACTATACAGCAAAACTCAAAAGACCTACTGCCCTGGGACAAAAGCTGTTTTTCAGCCTATTTTTCCTTGTTTTTATTATTCTGTACCATCTGCCAAATGGTAATAGTTCAAAAAAAGGGTTCCCAGGATGAGATGGATCTTTGAAACTGTTTTGAACTTTCATAAGGCAGCAGGAGCTATAAAGCTCTTCCAAAGAGGGGAGAGAGCAACCAATAATCTTCTGGAGTGCTGTCCTATCTGCCACTGTGCAATTGGCAAATCATACAGAGGTGCAGTTTATTAAAATGCTCTCTATGGTGCAGTGGTAGAAGGTCAACCAGCAGTTTTTCATTCAGTTGTTGTTTTCTGAGAAGTCTCAGGTAGTATAATCTCTGCTGGGCCCTTTTGACCAGGGCTGCAATGTGAGCACCTCAGGTCAGGTCCTCTTTTATGGTAACACCCAGAAACTTAAAACTGGCCATTTGCTTCACTCGGTCTCCATTGATAAGCAAGGGCTGGATGTCTGATCTGCTCCTTCTATAATCCACAATAAGCTCCTTGGTCTTATTGGTGTCGAGAACCAAGTTATTGTCTCCACACCACGAAAGCAACCAGTCTACCTCATCTCGGTAGGCAGACTCATCTCCCCCGGAGATAAGGCAGGTCTAGAACTCAGAGTCTCCTGGTTTCTAGCCTGGTGCTTAGACCAAACTGGCTAGCAAAATTGCTGATTTTCAGTTTGACTTTGTTTTCAAAGTAATGTTTAAAATAGATGTGTTAACCTCTACTAATCCTAATCTATTTATTACTATTTTAAAAAAAAAAAAAAATGAGAATTAAGAGTTATATTACATGCACAAACATACACACACACCATGATTATAGCTGAAATCAGTATAAAGCAGCTTTTTGAAAATCTAATTATGCTTCTCTGCTACCTTGGTAAAAATTTCATAAATATGAAAGAGATGAGGGGGGAAAAGGCATTATCCTTTATGCTGGTAAATTTAATAGTTGAGTGTTGTCTAGCGACTCTCAGCATAAAGTAAAAATAAAATTAAGTATTCAAATGTATATAAATATGGATTGCATATTTACAACATAGACATATTTGAATAATTCCTTACAAGAAAACCTTTTTTCCAATTTGAAATATTTTCCTGTTGCCTATGAACGAACACAAAGAAAACATAATCAAACTGATTAAAAAAGTAACTTTTCCTGGATCAGGCTAAAAAGCCATCTTGTTTGCCATGCAGGCTAACTGGAAACCTTCAAGAAGTTTTAAGGCATAAAGCCGAGGTGGGAAACCATGGCCCCTTTATGACTTGTGGGCTTCAATTCCCAGCATTTTTGGCTCAGGAATTCTGGGAGTTGAAGTCCACAAGTCATAAAAGGGTTATCATTCTCCACCCAAGGCATAAAGCATGCAATTTTCTTGCATAGTTGCCCCTGAACTCACATCAAATGCCACTTATGGCAGCTGCTGGACATGTGGCTGCCCTGTAGCTATTGATAGATCCATCCTTCATAACTCTTTGGAAGAACCACCAAAGACTGGTAGAGGACCAGTTTATTTTGGACTTTAGGAACTGGATGACATTCAGGAACTACTAATGACTACTTAGATATCCAGTAAAAAAAAAAAACTTAGTAGCTATATTTAAATGTCTTAACCTGCATTGTAACCAACTGTTTTCCATTATTAAAAAAAAGAAAAATTACTTGGTCATGTTTCGTGCCAAGAAGTCCTTCCTACAGATTTCCCCCATTCCAGGAAAATGGTTGATTCTCTGGTTAAAACAAAAACAAAAGCAGAAGACACACATTAGACAGGAATTTCTGATACAAAGCTGATATATATTAAAGCTGAAGATCAGTCAATAACTGTAAGTCAAGATAATGTTATTAAATATATTCTGAAACTTCTGACGTTTAGTAAATAGTGTATTGACCAGAAATACATACAGGTAATGCTCACTAATCAACTTTCTCAATTTAGCAACCATTCAAAGTTACAATGTTTTTTTAAAAAAAACAGGTTTGCAACCAGTCCTCACATTTATGACCGTTGCAGCATACCAGTCTTTTGATCATGCTTTGGGTGCTCTGCAAGCAGCATGCATTTGCAGCCATCAGTGTCCTGCAGACATGTGACATTCTTGTGCTTCACAACCAGCTTCCAACAGGCAGTTAGGAGAATGGGAAAGTAAAATTGCTACGACATTGCCGTGCAATATCTTGCTTAATGACCATATTGGAAATGACATGGTCATACAATTTTCAACTTAGTAATTGTGGTGCTTAATGGCAGACTTGCCAATCCAAATTGTGACCCTTAAGTGGAGGAATACCTGTATGGGCTTCTTAGCAATCTTACATAGAGATGATTAATCTTTCTCTTTTTCTCTCAGTTTAAGAATTTGGTCCCAGATCACTGAAATCCTGAATAAACTATTGATTAGGAACACAAGGGCTCTTTGTTTCTTACTATTTCAAAAAGAAAAAAAAATCAAATTTGGAGTGGAGGAGAATGCAAATGAAGTAGGCATATTGCAAAATGCTAACATAGCAAGTGCTTTTGTTAGGATATTTCATTGGTACGACTCCCCCATCCAAACAAGAGGAAGAACAAAAACTAGATAATGTAAGAACCATTGGCTTACCGGAGGCCTCATACAACATAGTAGAATACTTTATTTACTTATGGAATTTATAAGGCTGCCCAACTCAAAATGTATGGTTCTGAATACAAATTTGAAAGACTGATGCATTGAGAACCAAATAACAAAGAGAAATGTATGAGACAGCTTGGAAGGTCTCCTTGACAGTAATGATCTGCTCAGCAGGAACTATTACTCTAAGATAGTCTAGCACATCTAATTAATATAGCCAAGAGATTTTAGCATAAATCTGTGTAAGTCTCCAGTAATCGAACTCTATTGATTGTGTCTTTAGCTTTGTCCTGCTAGATGGCAGTACCTAGCTAAAATTGGTTATCTCAAACCAACTAAGTACAGTCTGATCACTTGATAAGGATAACATTAGGGTTGTGGACTAGACAGTGAAATAAACACTCAGACACTATCCTAGAAGAAGACAAGGACAAACCATTTTTGTATCATTGCCAAGAAAACATAACCATGTCCATAAAAATACCAGAAATCTAGCTAACATCTATGATACCCTGTTCTAAATTGACTCATGTATAGAACTCAGTTCCAATTGTGACTGTCCATGCAATTTGATTTCTGCTAAAATGTGACAGGGCTCTGCTGCTATAGAGAAGTAATCTTGAAAAAAGATACACAGTGGTTATAAAAACATAAACTTGCCTGGGAAAACAGAAAGGGATAAGAAACTCAATATAACAATACCTTGACATTCTTTAGTATAAGAAGTGGGGACATAGAAAACCTATATCAATAAAGTATTAATATTTCTTGTGTTGTCTGTTTCCCAACTTAGACTATTTCAAAGAGTTGACAATTGTCTAAGCTATAAATACTAGAATCTTTGCCTGGAACTCTGAACCATACTTTGATCATACTTCTGCCAAATGTATTTATTGAAAATAGTTTGTTTTCAATTTTGAGCTAGGATTAATTGACCTGGACTACTAAGAGAAATCCTGAACATATAACAGTTTACTACTTTAATCAATGTCTCAGCGATTTCTGATTTTTACCTGGTAGTTCTGGAGATCTGCAATTTTTTCTTGCTGCACAGCACAGTCATTCCAGATAAGGTTTGCAGTCTCGTCATCATCCCGAGTCTTCGCAAATCCCATTTCGTCTATTGCTACCCGGACTACAAGACAGAAAGCGATACATGAAAATCAACAGAAACAATTAGATTTCTCAATATCCAGAGAACTAACCTTCATTTTCCAAATTTGGATGTATAGCAGATATTAGCCCACAACATTATTATTAAAATTACTGACATTATTCAGTTCACAATATGAATTTTGGTAGTTCTCAACTTACAAACATTTGTTTAGCGACTGTTCAAAGGTACAACACTGAAAAAAATGACGTATGACCGTTCCTTGCACCTTCTGATTGTGACAGCATCCTCACAGTCACATTGATCAAAAATCAGGGTTTTGGAAACTGGCATGTATTTATGAGGGCTGCAGCATACCTGGGTCATGTAATTGCCATTTGTGACCTTCACAGCTGGCTTCCAACAAGCAAAGTCAATGGGGATTTGCTCAACAACCGTATTAACAAGTAACTCAGTGATTTGCTTAATTGTGGCAAAAAAAAGTTGTAAAATTAGGCATGATTCACTTAAGAACTGTCTTGCTTAGCAACATAAAATTTTGGTTACAATTTTGGTCATAAATGAAGGATAATACATAATAATACTCCCTACTGTAGAAATATAATGATTGTGTGTTAGGTTAGGAGCAAATACTGGATTATAAAAGAAATATTAAGACTTTTTAGCTTTCAAAATAATTAAAACCTCCAATTGATTTTTACTTGAAACAGTAGGAATATGTTGACTCTGACAAGAGTTGACTTTATAAAGCTTTCTTAGTTGTTGCTTTTCTAACTAAATTTACATAATGGAAGATACAAGATATGATTCATTCTCTTCTTGGTTAATTATTGTGTGTTAATTGTTGTGTGTTAGGATTAGGGTTAGGGTTAGTTGTGTGTTAAGAGGCAATGTTTGTATTTTTCTTCATTTATGCCAACTAAAAAAATCAGACAAAATCTAAGTGATCACAACTATAGATAAGCAAAAGCAGAAAGCTGAAAGAATAGTAGATAATATTCAAGAACGCTGAATGGTTAACATTAAGGCTTAAATTGAAACAAAAAGAAAAAGAAAACCAAGGAATCTTGTCACATTTTGTATAAAAGTGATAATTATAGCAAAAATATGGTATTGACTGGAGAGATTATAACAGCACATCATAATCCTCCAATTAAAAACAAGATTTTCCCCAGGTGAAATGCTAAGTTCCAGTTAAATGTGCTCTCTTTTGTAATTCACGTGTAAAATTCATGTGAAATTGAATGACCATACTGAGCTTAATGCATTAGAATATTGAAAAATATTAGATGCTAGATGTCTACGGAGATGAAATGCACCTTTAGGGTTAACTGCTAGAGCAATTTACCAAGACAAAAAAAATACACTCTCCATCCACCTTTCTTTATTTTACCATAGGATTAAATGTAAATTAAATAGAATATGTAGCTTGATACCAATTTCATATTTTGTGCCAGCAATATTCGCAGTAATGGTTGCATGTTTTTTCTTCTCTCTGACTTTTCTCCTTATTGAGTTTTGGAAAGTTAGGCCTGAACTCAAAGTCAAAGACGTGGTTCCTTGGTTATCTGTTAAAAAAAAAAGGGTACAGTAAGTCATCACTATATACTTTTTTCAGCAAATTGAGAATACACAGAAAATCATTTTACCGTATGATCTTAAAAACATAGCAAAGTTAAACAAGCTGTTAAAAAACTTTTGAAATACCAATTATAAAATTTCAATTTGAAGTGACAATGCATCACACACATCGCTGAACTAATTTACAATCTTCTCAATCCTAGCAAAACTACCACATGATCCTTCTGCACTGTAAACATACAATCCTTGCCTAAACATATACCCGTAATGTGGTGTAATGTTTCAGATTTATTTCAAGAATGATATTTTAAAATGGCAGGGAGTACAAAAGCAACTCTTGCTTGCAACTCACTAAAACATCACCTGTTCCTTGGGTTTCCGCTGCAGCTAAATGAACTTGAAAGCAGATGCAGTTGTTTTAATAAACAAGTCAAGTTCTATGATTACATTTCTTTGTGTCCAAAGCAGTTGTTATGTAGGAAATATCAACACAGCATGGTCCCAATATGGAAGTAGCTTGATAAGTACTTAAAATCCATTGCTGTGCCCCCACCAATTTCCCTGTGTCTTTTTTAAAAACATAGAGAAGCGGCACCACCCCTAATGGGATTATACCTGGAGGTCCATTATCTAATCATGCATATAGTATTGCCAGGACTGAATAGAATACATAATATCTGAACTGCCCAAAAGTTGCTTGTTTAACCCAAAGTATAAGGTTTCTGTAATAAGGTAGCTTACCTCCTTCATTAGGCAAGGATGGCATTATATCTGGGATGCTGTAATTGGAGAGCTACACACAGTGAAGGAATTTAAGAGGCTTTCCAAGCCAATCTTCTTTTCATACCATTTCAGTTCAAGACTGCAGCAAAACCCAGATTTAAGAAAGGAAAACCACCTGTATTTAAGTAGAAATATGTCCCAATTACAAAGCATTCTTTGCAGATCAGTTTTTAGCATTCAGATTTTCATAAAATTTCTTTGAAAGACATCTTAAAATATGATGAAAGGGCAGATGAAGAATAAAATGTTTAGTTTCTTTATCTCATTTGCAGTAAACCCTGACGCAATCTTATAGAAAGACTCTAATTGGGGGAAGAGAACTTTTGAACACATGTACATTTCCTTGTGACGTTATTAGGCAGAAAAGATAAAAACCACTATATTGTTTTAGACCAAAATCCTGAATTTTTAATAATATGTAATGATTAATTTTAATAATGATATGTTTTAATAATAAGTATGTCATAGTTGTCTTTAAGGCTAAAGAAACAATATATCCATGTAAGGGGGGGAATCAGAAAAGCCATATGAAATGATACCGCACATATCAAGTTATAAACCTACAATTAGTTCCTTAATCTTTCCCAAAGAAAATCCACCGCCAGATGACACTTAGAAACTCAAGCATTGCATTCTCTGTCCTATTCTGATGGTTGTTTAGAAGCAACATTCAACCTTTTGTTCTCTGTTAGTCACTGCAAGTTGGTATTTATCTAAAATTATATGGACTAAAGACATATTTTAACAATAACACGGAAGAGCCATATTTGTCAATTCTCAAAAGAATCTACGTGGTTTAAAAAAGGTGGAACAATTTCCCACCAAAGCATTTTAGAATGACCGTCAACCTCAAACAGAATATTACCCTTTTATTCAAAGGCGTATGATAACCTCAATAAGTGCTTTCATTTGTACACCTTGAATTAATTAACTCACACTGACCAGTATGGACTGGAAATCATCTCTGCTATCTTCCCTACCTCTTTCAGTTAAACAGTAGTGACAAATTAGAATGATAGGGCATGGAAGAATTGGGGTCTGAGATAGAAGAAATAAAAACTCGAAGGAACACCATTCGTTTAGCACTGTCAGAGCTGTGAGAAGTCACTGAATAAATTACAAGTTGAGGACTATCTGTAGATAAAGGATGAGATATGGGGATGAAGATACATTCATCTGTAACTTTATGTGGGTAAAGAGTTATTAAATTTGTAATTGTTGTAATGAGGGTTAGAAGTCACTCCTTCATATAATTTTATTTTGTCAGAGTGCGCACAGGAGATAACCCAGGAGCAAATACAGTAAATGGAGGTTTGTATTTTAAATAGTGGGTTTATCTACAAAGAATATATACACACACACGTACTTTAAAAGTCAGACCTCAAACAGGAATCAGCAATTACAGCACAGAAAAACAGGGGGCGGGGCGAGAGAGAGATACGGGGCCTCTTCTTATTACAGGGCCTCTTCTTATTACAGGCTCCTTAAAGTAATAGCCCAAAAACCTTGCTGACTCATTCCCAGTATTACATCATCATAGCATCTGGTCATCATTACCCTGACATATTTTTCTTTATCATATTCTTTTTTCTTTTTCTTCACTTTTTCTTCATTCTTGCTACTCTTTTTGCTTTACATTTAGTTTGCATTGGATTTATTTTTACTATTGTAAACAAAATCTTTAATTAAAAAAAATGCATAAAAGAGAAGGAAAAACATACATGACTTTCAGGCTGCTGTCTGAACACTATTCTTGGTGCATCATGACTAAAATTGACCTGGGTATCTTAATCCATCATGCATATCCCAAATCAGAAAGTGTGTTTACTAGCACAGAAACACACTTTAAGCAGAATTAAAATCATGTTTCGAAGAATCCGCATACTTGTTTATCCTCATTTAGAAGAGGTATATAAGTGTCCAGAGAGCAAAAGATTTAAACAATCTGAAGAGAAACCAGAATAGGAATACTAAAAAGTTAAATCCTTAGAAGATGGGGGGGAAACTATACTCAAGCTATAAAAGATGCTAGAGATAGCAAATTTTTAGAAAATTACAGATTCTATCAATCAACAAATGCCACATTATCTCTTCCTTTGAGAAGAAAATTTGGACAAGATTCATGAACAATACCCTTTCAAATATGTTTAAAATGAGATGCACTTGGAAAATATTTGTAGTTAAAGTGGGTTTTTTTTCTAAATCTTTTATTTATTGGGGGGGTTCCTTTTTTCTTCATGTGTAGTGAGCTGTTCACTTTTATTTTATTTTATTTTATAGAATAGAATAGAATAGAATAGAATAGAATAGAATAGAATAGAATAGAATAGAA